GGGCAGAGGCGGTGCTGAGGGCCGGGGTTTGGGGGTGGGATGGCAGGGGTAGGGGAGCGGTTGGGCTGGGGGAGCTGAAAGGGCTTTTCCAACCCAAACCATTCTGTGATTCTATGAAACCGTGTGTGCAGGAAATAAGGGTGCGGCGCATCAGCAGCAGCCCTGTGGTCAGGCGGAAGGTCCTCGCTTGCAAATAGCAGTTACCCCGCCCGGGGCTGGTGGCCTGAGGGTCCACTTTGCTCACGCGTTGGGAGCAGGCAGCAAATGGAAGCAGCAGATGCGGGCAGTTTAATTATCCACCAACTTCCGACGCTGTCTGTGGGTGAACACAAGCGTTTTGACCTGTGCTTCAGCCGGTCGTGTTGTGCCTTTTTATTTTCCAGAAATCCCGTTTCACGCAGAGGGTCGGTACCCAAAGTCTTTGATAGGGAAGAACTTCTGTGCCTACCTGCTGGAACTGCGGAATTCCAGCACCTCCTTCAAAGGCATCCGCAAAGCCTTGATTGACACCTTGCTGGACGGGTACGAAAGTGCCCGCTACGGCACTGGGGTAAGCACCAGCGCGGCATCGCCTGGCCCCCGCGGCAGCGCAGGGGGCTGTTCCTGCGCTCCAGTCTGACCGGTGGACGGAGGTCGCGCTGAGACCTCGGCTGGGTTTTCCACAGTCTTTTCTGTTTGCGTCCAGGTCTTTGGGAAACCAGAATATCTGCAGTACCAGGATGCTCTGAACGAGCTGGCAAACATGTAAGTGTTACTGTCCGGGTGTGCTGCTGGGGTGCGGCTTCTTGGGCCCCAGTGGCCCATCGTGGAGGTGTGAATAGAGATGGGTTTGGGGGCAAAACCCAGCCTCTGAGACATGGGCTGTCTGTCCTTCCAGGTTTACTTAATCCTTACAGCCTGTCTGTTATTGTGGTTTTGGGTTTGTTATTTGGTCACGTTCCCTGCTTTGAGCCAGGGGCCTCATGCGGGCTCCAGGCCTGGCACCCGCAGAAGCTCCAGCCTCGGTTTTCAAACCCGCAGTCAGCGCCGTTGTCCCGAGGGCAGATCTGCCTCGTGTTGGACAGACGGACACGATGGTTGCGCAGCTCCTCTGGGGAGGGCGGCAG